ACTCTCTGCTTCTGTTCCAGGGCGCAGGAGGAAAGCACGGGGCTGCTGAGCGGCCTCCGTATCTGGCACACTCAGCTGCTCCCAGGTGGTCTCCAGGGCCTCATCCTCAACCCCATTTTCCGCCAGAACCTCCGCATTGCCCTTCTGGGTGGGTATGTCACTCCCATCCCTTCCTGACGCAGACCAGGGGAATCAGTAATTAAACCGACAACTAAGCTGCTGGAGTGGGCTTCTCCGTGGCCTGGAACCTTGTAGGTTCTTCCCCTTGGGAACTCCTTCAGAGTATGTCAATGAGATCTGGCTGCATGGCATCAGAAACATCTCCCCATGGCCCTCGGGAATGGGGATAGAAAGTGGGCAGCGGGCGATCAGGGAACTCAGGTAGGGTTCCTTCCTCTTGTCCCATCCTGGCCATAGGGGGAAGGCCTGGTCTGATGATACAAGTCAACTAGGACCAGACAAGCATGCCCGGGATGTTCCCTCGCTTGACAAGTACGCCGAGGAGCGATGGGAGGTGAGATGCTGGGCTCCATGGGCCTTTGCTTGTGGCCTGGTTCCCTTGGCTCTTCGAGGCAGTCGTCTCTCTGTCCTCTCCCTGCCCTCAGGTGGTCTTGCACTTTATGGTGGGCTCTCCCAGCGCCGCTGTCAGTCAGGACTTGGCTCAGCTCCTCAGCCAGGCTGGACTCATGAAGAGGTGAGGGAAGCCAGAGGTATAGTCACTTCTTGCTTGGTCATCTCCTTGAGTCCCCGAGTGATCTGGGTGGGTGAGGATTGCAGAGGGCCGACTGAAAAAGGAGCGCTGAGGAGAAAATGGCCAACACTGTCTGACTAAGAAGAACCAGGAACTAATCTGGGGACAGGGCCTTTCTCTGCATACTTCTTCCATTGTCGTGTTCCTAGTACTGAACCTGGCGAGCCACCCTGCATTACTTCTGCGGGTTTCCAGTTCCTGCTGCTCGACACCTCAGCCCAGCTCTGGTACTTTATGTTGCAGTATCTGCAGACAGCCCAGGTGAGGAGGCCGGGGGCTGCCTGCTCTGCTTTTCTGGGACCCACTAAGAGCCTTCCTCTACAGACTGTGTTCTCTGATTTTCTCTCCGCTCTCTCTCGTTTTCTCCCTCTCATCCCTCTTGCTTTGTTTCTTCCCCCTTCTCCCTTAGAATCGGGGCATGGATCTCGTGGAGATTCTCTCCTTCCTCTTCCAGCTTAGTTTCTCCACTCTGGGCAAGGTAAGCAGAGGGCTGGAGCCGAGTCTCAGGTGGGCAAGCTAAAGGGGAAAGATGGGGGAGGAGGTTATGGGGTGGCAGAGTGAAAGATAAAAGTGAATAAAGCATGATTAGAGATAGGAAAAGAATGGGTAGGGCGGAGGAGAATGGCATGATTTGGACCTCAGTCAACCACCTCTCTTCCTCAGGATTACTCTGTGGAAGGTATGAGTGATTCTCTGTTGAACTTCCTGCAACATCTGCGTGAGTTTGGACTTGTTTTCCAGAGGAAGGTATGGTCACCCACATAGCGTGTCTGGGAAAGAGGCAGAGTGTATGTTACCTTAACCTTTAAAAAGGGGTGTGTATGTGGGGGGTGGGGGGGTGTGCTGGAGCAATAGTGTAGTGGGTAGGGCACTTGCCTTGTACACAGCTGACTTAGGTTCGATCCCGGGCACCCCATATGATCCTTCAAGCCCACCAGAAGTGCTCCCTGAGCACAGAGCCAGGACTAAGCCCTGAGTAACGTCGGATGTGACCCCAGAACAGAATAAGGTGTGGGATGGGGGAAGATTAGCAGTATTGCAAACAAGGTGCTTAAAATAATATATATATATATATATACATACATACATATATATATATATATATATATATATATATATTTTAAGACAGCAGAGCCTGGCAAGCTCCCTGTGATGTATTCGATATGCCAGACACAGTAACAACAAAGTCTCCAATGGAGACGTTACTGGGCCCGCTCGAGCAAATCGATGAACAACGGGAGGACAGTGATACAGTGATATTTTAAGACACACAGTGTGGGAGGTGGTATCAGGAAGCAGTTGCCAGGGTGGAATTCCTGTGTTTAGTGGGAGAGGAGTCGGGAATTGAGACTCTTGTCCTGGAAGGGATCTGATATCTCTGGCAGAAGATAGACAAAAGTGACAGGTAAGGGCGGGCTCTCTACTTTTCTTTCCATCCTTCCCAGAGGAAATCTCGGAGATACTACCCCACGCGCCTGGCCATCAATCTCTCATCAGGCGTTTCTGGAACTGGTGGCACCACACACCAGCCTGGCTTTATTGTGGTGGAAACCAATTACCGCCTGTATGCCTACACGGGTGAGTCACTGAGGGCCCCTGTGAGAGTGACCTGGCTGGGCTAGGAGTGGGGAGCCAGCGTTTGTGCTCACGTTTACTGGAGGCCTGCAGAGCGTCGCTCTTGTATCACACCTGAAGGTTGGGCTCGAGGGTGTCCGGGCCTGGGGGAAGCCTACTAACCTGCTCTCCCTTTCTCCGGGCCAGAGTCGGAGCTTCAGATTGCCCTCATTGCCCTCTTCTCCGAGATGCTCTATCGCTTCCCCAACATGGTGGTGGCACAGGTGACCCGGGAGAGTGTGCAGCAAGCCATCGCCAGTGGCATCACAGCCCAGCAGGTATCCCCACTTGGGGGAGGTGGAGGCAGGACCGTAGGGAGCACAGTGGGTTACCTCAGGGGACTGGTATAGTAGGTGGGTGGAGAGCTGGGTGTGTGGGTGTGCCCAAGCACAGAGCGCTCCTATTAAGGACTGGGTCAGTCTGGGTGTGGGAAGAAGCAGGTGCTTGAGGGGAAAAACATGGTGGGAGCAGGTGGCGCTGTGGACTTGGGTTTCAGCACCAGCTTTTCCAAGCAGCATTGAGTACCCATTACTTCGCTTCACTGAGCCTTTCTCTCAGCTGGAGCTTGGGAATACTGACAGGGTAAAGTGAAGGTTCAGTGACAGAAGCTGCCATTGCAGTACGTGCTCAAAAAGTAAAAACTGCTTCTGTTATGAAGACATGGAATAAGGCAAAGGAGAGGGTTGGAAGGAATGAATGGCAGACTGACTGGTGGGGTGGCAGCTGGACAGGGATGGCCCGAGTTGATGACAGGCACGTGTTAGGTGATTTTCCAGTGACACCGGGTGAACTTAGTAGCTTTTCTGGCCACTTGAACCCATTGTTGTCTGTTCCCTAGATCATCCATTTCCTAAGGACAAGAGCCCACCCAGTGATGCTCAAACAGGTACCAAGCTGCCAGCGGCCGAGAGCCCCTGGCACATGGCGATGAGGTGTGGATAAAGGGACATTTAAATCTGGAGAATGGATGGAAGGCCGGGTGGCTTGGCCGGGCCTCTGAACATTTCCGCTGCCCCTCGCCTCACAGACGCCGGTGCTGCCCCCCACCATCACAGACCAGATCCGCCTCTGGGAGCTGGAAAGGGACAGACTGCGCTTTACCGAGGGTAGGTGGCTTCTGGGGATTTATTCTTGGTCAGAGGAAGACAAGTAGGTCTTCACTGAGCTGAGACAACTATGCCTTTTATTTTTGGGTCATTGAATGGGTTATGACACCATCTGGCAAGACATGGTTGGGTCCTTATTAGGAAATACATTGTCTCAAATCCTTGCAAGTTTGCCTTAGCTAGAAAGAGGAATTATGAGGGCTAGGTATAAATTACGGAAGCAGTTTCTCAGTTTTGTTTGTTTGTTTTTGGCTTTTTGGGTCACACCTGGCAATGCACAGGGGTCACTTCTGGCTATAGCTCAGGGGACCATATGGGATGCTGGGAATCGAACCCGGGTCAGCCCCGTGCAAGGCAAATGACCTACCCGCTGTGTTATCACTTCAGCCCCGCAATTTCTCAGTTTTGAAGAGCATTGCTGGCGTTCTTTATTCTCTTGCCTTCCGGAATATGCTTGGATCCCATTCACTCATTAGGATGAACTAGGGCTTATCAGTTTGTAAATTAAGGTGGATGTTAACTCGGACCCCGCACCTCACGTTCTTGCCCTCTCTCCTGTCCCGTGGACCCTAGGCGTCCTGTATAACCAGTTCCTATCGCAAGTGGACTTTGAGCTCCTGCTGGCCCACGCGCGGGAACTGGGCGTCCTGGTGTTCGAGAACTCGGCCAAGCGGCTCATGGTGGTGACCCCTGCCGGACACAGCGACGTCAAGCGCTTCTGGAAGCGACAGAAGCACAGCTCCTGAGAATGCGGGACAGACAGACGGACCCTGGCGGGAGGGAGGGACCGGGCGGGGCGGGCCCAGCAGGCGCGGCCTCGGAACTCAGGTTTTTTTTCATTTACACGCGGGAACTCTTGTTTAATAAAGCTGCAGAAACCGAAACTTCCCGCGCGCGGCTCTTCCTCCGGCTGCGCACGCGCCGGTCCTGGACCACGCCCACCAGGTGGGCGGGGCCGGCGTGCCCCGCGCCTGCGCCCCGCCAGGCCCCGCCTCCCTGCGCCGCGCGGACGCCGGGTCACGGTCCGGGATCGGACGCGCGGGTACCTCCGACCCCTGCAGCCGGCGCGCGGCGGCCCCCGGGAGAGCGGCGGGGTCTCCCGGTGAGCCGCGCCGGGGCGGTGCCCGTGGAGGCAAGGGACGCTGTCGGTGGGCAGGCAGGCGGGTCGCGCGGGGTTGGGACCCTCGTGGGAGCTCAGGGACTCCGGAGACGCCCCCGCTCTTAGGCATGATGACAGTTCTCCCCGGGAAATCTCAGTTCTTCCCCATTCCGCGCGTCAGCGGCCACCCTTAGGTCGCAGGTACATAAATTGAGGGCCTCCAAGCCAGGCGTGCCCCCGAGGAGCCCCAGTCCCTGCAGGGGCCGCGCACGATGGGCTCTGACACGCATCTCGGAGGCGGCCGGGTGGTGGGCGTGAACGGGGCTTTGGAATGACAGACCGATCCTGTGGGGGCCAGAAAGTAAGAGGTAGGGTGTGACCCGCCCTCCCCACGCCGTGCCCTTGTGTGCTCTGTCTGGAACAGGTGTTGCCCCTCCTTCCACGCACTCCTGATGCCTCACTTGCCGCTGGCCCCTTTTCGACCACCACTCCGGGTTCTGAGGCCCTCACGGGCCTTCCCCAGGTCGCAGCCCCATTCCACGCAGTCAGAACCCTATGGGTCCCCCATCTCCAGGAAGAACCGGGAAGCCAGACAGAAGCGCCTGCGAGAGAAACAGGCGGCTCTGGAAGCTGGGCTGGTGGGGAGAAGTAAGGTGAGGCATCTGAGATGCCCCGGGGGGGTCTGAGAAGACTCCCGAGGGGCTGGACTGCAGGGGCCTGAGGTACGCAAGGAATCGCAGCCCTCTTTTCTGATTCTCCCAGTCCCCTGCAGAATCCAGTAAGGCCTGGACTCCCAAGGAGGTAGTGTTGTATGAAATCCCTACAGAATACGGCGAAAAGAAAGGTAACCAAAATCTGATGGCCTCTTCTCACATTCTTGCTGCTCGTTTTTGGTCTGCTGAAATGCAGCCGGAGAACAGTTGGGAACTGTGGGGTTCTCCTCTCCACAGATGTCACTCAGCCTCTGCCTCCTGCGTACAGCCCCCGCTATGTTGAGGCGGCCTGGTACCCTTGGTGGGTGCGAGAGGGCTACTTCAAACCCGAGTATCAGGTAAGTTCCTGGCAGGGCTGGGTGCAAGGATTTCCCAGTAGAGCATGGCTTGTGAGGTTGGTGTGCAACACTGATGCTTGGAGTCTGGAGCTGCCGGGTCCCAGAGCCCGATGAAAAATAAATAGGAGTGGGGGTGGGGGAGCTGTGCTTGGGGTTTTGGAGGTTTTCCTCCCTGTGCCAGAGCCCTTCCTCCTTCCCTGCCTTTCTTCCTGCCTTGGAGACAGCAGAGGGTGCTGTTCTCCCACTTCACTCTTGCCCTTTGACCTTTCTCCCTCCCTCCTTCTAGGCCAGATTGCCCCAGGCCACCAAGGAGACCTTTTCTATGTGTATCCCACCGCCTAACGTTACTGGCTCCTTGCACATTGGACATGCACTCACCGTGGCCATACAGGATGCCATCGTGCGCTGGTGAGGGATTGGGCTACTGGTGGTCTGGGTACAGAGTTGGGAGGGAGGGAGGATGAACTTGGAGGATCAGTGGGTTGAGGTGAGAGTATTTCTTTTGCAGGCATCGCATGCGTGGGGATCAGGTCCTGTGGGTCCCTGGCTCAGATCATGCAGGAATTGCTACCCAAGTATGTCTTTTGCCACTTTTCCCTTTTCTTGGGTGAAAGAGATGTCCCTCCTGAAAAGGACTTCTATTTTTCCCTTTTTCCATTTTTACTTGTTTTAATTTTAGGACCTGTGTTACATAATAGTGTTAATATTGATGTTTCAGAAATGCATTGTGACAACATGTCCACTACCAAGAATGCCAATATCCCACCCACAATCTGAACTCATACTATCCCTCCACTGTTATCTCTGTGTCCTGTCTCATTAGCATGTGGGGGAGCTCAGGCCTGATACCCGGCGGTGCTTAGAAGCTACTCCTATGCATTCCTGGGGTTCAAACCCATGTCTCCCACATACAAAATGTCCAAACCCTTTGGGAAACAATTTTATAGACACTAGGATCTGTTACCTTTGGTCATTGTTAATTCCCTTACTGTGTTTCTTTGTATTCAATATATGAGTGAGATCACTCGATGTTTGTCCTCCCTTTGACTCACTTTGCTCAGCAAAAAAAATACTTTCTAGTCATATCCAACTTATAGTGAATTGCAGAATCTTATCTTTTCTTAGAGCCTAGTAGTAGTTCACTGTGTGTGTGTATATATATATATATATATATATATATATATATATATATATACTTTAATCCATTCTTTATTCATTCATCCGGAAACCTGACTTTTCTTGGAAATGTGGTTATGAGCATAGGAGTGCACATAGCACATATCTTTTTGAATCAGTGTTTTCACTCTCTTGGGGTAGACCTCAAGGGTAGCTTAACTGTTTGTTCACTTCCCTCCATTAGGCTGTGGTTGAGAAACAGCTGTGGAAAGAGCGAGGAGTGAGGAGACATGAGCTGAGTCGGGAAGACTTCCTTCGGGAGGTGTGGAAATGGAAGGAAGAGTGAGTATGAGACTAAGGTTAGGCCTGGCTTTCCAGCCTTTCTTGCCTAACTTGCAGCTGATGCTGTTCCTGTCCAGCAACTGCCCTTGTAATGAAATCCTTTTGCATTTAGTGGCGTCTCCACATTTTATGCCTATGTATGTTACACGAGTGTATTTTTGTCTGTTGATTCATGTACATATATAGTTCTGGGCATACCTTACATCTACTGTGTGTTCACTTTTGGTGGATCCCCACAGAGCAGGTACCATACAAAAGCAAGTCACAGGAGATTTTTGTTTTCTAGTGCATAGAGAAGCATTGTTTATACTCTATAGTAGTCTGTTGTGTGTGCAGTGGCATTATCTCTAAATGAATAATGTATGTAACTAAAAATACTTTATTGCTAAAAACTGTTACTGGTCATGTGAGTCTTGGGTGGAGGTCTTATAAAATATGCAGTGTCTGCAAAACACAGTAAAGCACAGTTCACTAAAAGGATGTATGCATGTATGTGTGTGTGTACATATACACACAATCTAATTTGCCCTTGTTTAGATATCATCATCTGTCATACTAATTCCCACTTTTCATCTGCATCATATTCCTCATCTTCCGGGTTAGATGAGAGCACATAGAACATGTGCTATCTACTCTAAAGCTTGTTTGGGCTTCCTACACTTTGCCATTGCCTCCTCTATTACTGTAGAGCTCTCTGCCTCTCTGTGTTACAGGAGGCCCTATTGCGAGTGTGTGTTTGTGTTAGTGGAATTCTGAAGGCCAGATCACTGTCCATCACTCTAGTGCCGACCATGCAGGGCCATCAGGGGGTTTGGTATACAGGGCGCTCAGGACATGTTTGCTTATAAAAGCTGTCTGGGCCCAGGAAAGGTGGAGAGATCTGTGAGCAGCTCCGTGCGCTGGGGGCCTCCTTGGACTGGGACCGGGAGTGCTTCACTATGGATGCTGTGAGTAACCTTCGGTCCCGGGAGTGTCAGGGAGGTGGTTTGCGTGTGCTTAGGGTATGAGGGTGGAATTGCCTGGGCTCCTGTGTGGGGTGATGGCCTGAGAAGGGGCTGTTGGATATGGACACTCAGGTTGTTCCAGGGCTCCTCAGCGGCCGTGACTGAAGCTTTTGTGCGACTCTACAAGGCAGGGTTGTTGTACCGGAGCCGGCAGATTGTCAACTGGTCCTGTGCTTTACGATCAGCCATTTCGGATATTGAGGTGAGGCGGAAGGGAGAGAGGAGCTGTGAGCTAGGCTGGATGAAAGCTCTCTCTGTTGCTGGTGCTGATCTGGCAGGCCCTTGGTCTGGAAGACTCATTTTCCTCTGGCTGAGTTAGGAGTGAGGGAAATACCTGCTTCTCAGAGGTGTTGGGAGAACTCATGGAAGGTGCTCAGGATGCTTCTGTGTGGTTTGAAAGCTTGAAGAATATTTGTAACTGCATGAAGGTGTAGGGAGGGGAATGTGGCTGTCATGTCCTGAATGTCTGTCAGAAGGGGTTCAGGGAAGCCGGGTGGCTGGGTGGGGAGTGGGGGGTGGTCTGGTGTGGCCTTACAGAAGGTTCTCTCCAGCCTGACCTCTTGCTTGCCTGCAGGTGGAGAACCGGTCCCTGCCTGGCCGCACCGAGCTCCGGCTACCTGGCTGCCCCAGCCCCGTGACTTTCGGCCTCCTCTTTTCTGTTGCCTTCCCCGTGGATGGACTGCCTGGTGAGGCGCATCCTCAGGCTTCCTGTGTAGCTCTGCTTCTCCTTATTCTCCAGCCAGGCCTTTGGGTGCGCCCCTTCTCCCCCTCTCCAGCCTGTTTCCCACTTCCCATGGGACCTTGTGGGAGGGGCATGAGGACCCTGTTTATTGGTGGTGGCCTTTAGCAGGGACATAGCCTGTGTACTCTGGGCCATGTGAGGAAAGGGCCTGTAGTTGCTGCCCTTTGGGAGCTCAGTGTAGTTCTGTAGGAACCTGCTACTCTGGAAGCTACAGAAGGTTAGTTCTTGCATGTGGTTTGAACAGTCAGCGTTTCAGAGTGTTCAAAGAAGAGACATTTCCTCTGGAAAGAAGTGGTGCTTATCCTGGAGACTGCACATTTGTAGGAGAGGCCAGTGTCCGTGCAGAGGCGAGGCTCCGGGTTTCCATTAGTTTTGTGGCAAGGCAGAGGGTACCCAGCACTGGTACCCCCCATGCTCCCGTAGACACTCGTCTGAATTTTTCTAGGTCCTCCTGGGAATAGTTCCCCAGACTGTTACCCATTTTCTCCTTTTCTTAGCTCTGTTGGGAGTGAGGGACCAGGGTGACAACCAGTTTCTGTACTTGAATTTTGTTCTAGATGCTGAGGTTGTGGTAGCAACCACCAGGCCAGAGACCTTGCCTGGAGACGTGGCTGTGGCCGTCCATCCTGCTGATGACCGATACACGGTAATAGCCCTGGCTCACTGCTGCTGCCCGGCCCACCCCGCTGTCTTTCTGTCCCCTTCAGGGTGCCAGGCTCCTTCCCTATGGAGCCTGCTTCCTTTTCCTACGGCTTCTCTCCTCTCAGCTCTCCAGCGATGCTGAATCTACTTTGTTCCTTCACTCTGCCATAAGACTTTTTTTTTTCTAACTTGGGGGTTGAGGAACTGTGGCGAGAAAGCCAAATGCACCCCCCACTGTGGGTCTTTATATGAGCCTTGCTCAGCTGAACTGTTGGTGCACACTTGGCTGTGTTAATAGAAGTAGAGCCATTGTGCAGAGCTGTCATTTGCCTTTTGTCCTGCAAAGCTTAGAATTTTATACTCTGACCCTTTAAAGGCAAGTTTGCTACCCCAGCTATAACTGTTTCCCTTTTGGTCTTCTCCCTCTCTACTGGGCTGTTATGCCCAGCGTTGCCCCTTGCTGCCCTTCCCTGTGCCCTGCCAGTTATTCCTCTTCCTTCCCTCAGCATCTGCACGGGCGACAGCTTCATCACCCCTTGACAGGACAGCTTCTACCCCTCATCACAGACTCTGCTGTTCAGCCACACCTGGGCACAGGTGAGTGGGTGTCAAGAAAGAGAAAGCTGGGGGCTGTCGGGAGGATGGAAGGGAGAAGGTAAGTGGGGAGGTAGTTGAGGGTGGGCCAAGAGACAGTGGGGGATGAGTGGAGGATAGAGAAGATAGAACAGTGAAGTGTAAGTTGTGAGTGGCCTCAGGAACACAAAAGCCAGTGTTGGGGTTCATTGCTCACCAAGGTTCTGCTCCCCCAGGGGCAGTGAAGGTGACTCCAGCTCACAGCCCAGTTGACGCTGAGTTGGGGGCCCGGCATGGCTTGAGCCCCCTGAGTGTCATCTCTGAGGATGGGACCATGACCGCCCTCTGCGGGGACTGGCTGCAGGTACTGCCGCTTCTCCCTCCCTCAGGGGCACCCTTCTCCCCGCCTCCCCTCTTGTTTTCTGGGACTCTGACCTTCGCTTTTGTGTCTTTCCCAGGGCCTTCACCGATTTGTGGCCCGAGAGAAGATTATGTCTGCACTCAGGGAGCGGGGCCTGTACCGGGGTCTCCAGAACCACCCCATGGTGCTGCCTATCTGCAGGTAACCCCTTTGAACTCTTCTCCCCAGAAGGGAGTAGACGATGCTTAAGGAACAATGATAGAGGCGCTCTGTACCCCCTACCTGGCTCGTGGCTTAGTGTGGAGGTATTTGCTGTTGTCCCTTCCTAATGGAGGGCCTGGCACAATGGGGTGCTGGGGAAGGCACTGAACTTGAGCTGGCCTCATCCTGCCTCCTTTCAGCCGTTCCGGGGATGTGGTGGAGTACCTCCTGAAGAGCCAATGGTTTGTCCGCTGCCAGGAAATGGGGGCGCGCGCTGCCAAGGTGAGACTGCAAGCAGAAAGGCTGGGCCCTGTGGGGGTGCTCTGTGGATTGGAGATGAGGATCAGGGAGTTTGGAGGTTCTCGTGGGGCCTTCTTGTGTGCTTCTGAGGAGGCTGAAGCTGGCTGATGTCCCTGCCCAGGCCCAGAATCTTCCCAGGGGGCTTGAGATGGCCCCAGAGGCCGGTGGGGGGGGGGGAGGGAGAGGGGTGCCCAGGCAGTGGGGAAGCACTGGCCAAGCCCTTTCCTCCAGGCTGTGGAGTCGGGGCTCCTGGAACTCAGCCCGCCCTTCCACCAGAAGAACTGGCATCACTGGTTCTCCCACATTGGGTAAGGGGTTGGGGGCACTTATGGTGATGGGGTGGGGAACCCCAGAGATGCTGAGAAATCATTCACGTCCTCTCCGCAGGGATTGGTGTGTCTCCCGGCAGTTGTGGTGGGGTCATCAGATTCCAGCCTACTTGGTGGTTCAGGAGCCCGTGGAGGTTGGTTGGGGGAATTCAGGGGACACTGGGTATGGTGGGAAGAGCCAGAACAGAGTCCCAGGGATCCCCACTGCTGGCCCGCACTGTGTCTACTGGAGTCTGTATTTCTTCATCTCACCACACGAGGGCACTGTCCACCTTCTTACCCCAGTGAGACCTGACATCAGCTCTGGGATTCCTCAGCCCTCCCTCCCTGGCCCTCCTCTCCTCTGCAGGGTGACAGGGAGGACTGTTGGGTGGTTGGAAGGACCGAGGCTGAGGCCAGAGAAGCAGCTGCAGAACTGACAGGGCGGCCGGCAGCGGAGCTAACCCTGGAGAGAGGTGAGTGCCCGAGGAGTGGAGAGCAGGAGAGTGTCTGGGTTTGCAGGGGAAGACGCTGGCTGGAAGAGGATGGGGCAGGAAGTGGGGCCATCAGCCTTACTCCTGGGCTGGGGGGGTCGGGGGGCAGGGAGGAGGCCGTGGCCGAGGGTCCTGTGGTTCCTAATCCTTGTTCTGTTTCCCAGACCCTGATGTCTTGGACACCTGGTTCTCCTCGGCTCTTTTTCCCTTTTCTGCCTTGGGCTGGCCCCGAGAGGTGAGGTGGGTTGAGAGGAAGAAGGGGGAGGCGGGTGAGGATGCCTGGGCCCCCTGAGTCTCAAGAAGAGCCCAAGACACTCCCTGCCTCTCTTCCTCTAGACGCAAGACCTGAAGCATTTCTACCCGCTGTCCCTTCTGGAGACGGGCAGTGACCTCCTGCTGTTCTGGGTGGGCCGCATGGTCATGCTGGGAACGCAGCTCACTGGACAACTCCCCTTCAGGAAGGTACCAGCCCTGCAGGGCCATCAGCATCGCCAACTCGGCCTCTGCTCTGACCCTCTGCTCCCCAGTACCGCTTTCTCTTTCCCAACTTCCTTTCCACTGTGACCTCTAAGGCACGGCTCAATCCCAGGCCTTCCACACTGACTGCGTTCATGTTTCCAGGTGCTTCTTCACTCCATGGTTCGGGATAAGCAGGGCCGGAAGATGAGCAAGTCCTTGGGGAACGTACTGGACCCACGGGACATCATCAGCGGGGTGGAGCTGCAGGTCAGGATGAAAGCCTGATGGGGGCTGGGATTTGGGGAGAGTGGAGGTCCCGAGGAGAAAAGTGGGTGGGCAGGACAGTGGATGGGTCTGGTAGGGGTAGACCCTTAGAGGGAGGCTGTTGACCACGCATCCAGGTGCTGCAGGAGAAGCTGAAAGATGGGAACTTGGACCCTGCGGAGCTGACATTTGCAGCCACAGCACAGGTGAGCCCAGAGTCCCATCTCCCACCCGTAGCTTGGACCCTGCCGGCCTCAGTCGCTTCATGGCCTCTGTTGTCTTCCCTCTGCTTACAGAGAAAGGAATTCCCTCATGGGATCCCTGAGTGCGGGACAGATGCCCTGAGATTCGCCCTGTGCTCCCATGGAGCCCTGGGTAGGTTGAGGGGAGGGAGGTATTGGCACAGAAGGCAGCTGTATAGGGGCGTGGCCAGCCACACACTCCTTCCTTTTTGGGCCTGCAGGGGGCGACTTGAACCTGTCTGTTTCTGAGGTCCTCAGCACTCGTCATTTCTGCAACAAGATCTGGAATGCCCTGCGCTTTATCCTCAATGCCCTAGGAGAGAACTTCGTGCCCCAGCCCGTGGAGGAGGTGAGGGAGCCAAGGTGGGCTTGTCGAAGGGTTGAAGGCAGCATCTGGAGGGAAGGAGGCAGGGCAGTGGGAGTCGGCCCTGTTCTGAAGCCCTGTCTGCCCGCAGCTGGCCCCAACATGCCCCATGGACGCCTGGATCCTGAGCCGCCTCGCACGCACTGCCGTGGAGTGTGAGCGAGGCTTCCGCGCCCGGGAGCTGTCGCATGTCACCCACAGCCTGCACCACTTCTGGCTGCACAGTCTCTGTGATGTCTACTTGGTGAGGGAGACCCTCATGGGCCTTGATTCAGTCAGGTGGCCGAGAGTTCTGAAATACTCTGATTGTTGGGGCAGGAAGACGGCGTATCTGGGATGGTCGCTGGTGCAGGAGTGGCACTTCCCTGGCAGAGGGTCTGGTGGAGGGGATGGAGTGACGGTGGGGTGTGTAGGAGGGGCAGTTCCTTTCCTTTAGGCCCCTGTGACTGCCGAGTGAGACCCTGGTGGGATGGGAGCTGGGTAATGAGGTCACGGCAGTTTGGTCTTTAGACCAGTTCTCACACCTGACCCTACAGGGTTGCTGCTGAAGGGCTGTGCATGTGTGTGTGTGTGTGTGTGTGTGTTTGATTTTTTTGTTCAGTGTTGTTGAAGGGCTGTGTGTGTGTTGTGTGTGTGTGTGTGTGTGTTTGATTTTTTGTTCAGTGTTGTTGAAGGGCTGTGTGTGTGTGTGTGTGTGTGTGTGTGTGTTGTGTGTGTGTTTCATTCCTTCTTCAGTGTTGCTGGCCCGGGACCATTTGGCTCTTCCAGCAGCTTTGTTCTTTTTGATGAACAGAAAACTCAGTGTGTTTTCAGAACTATACAAACTTTCCCGGAAATTTTCTTTGCCTGCCTCTGAGTGGCTCTGCTCTTGATTTCCTTAGGTTTTGATGTATGACTCCGGAAAGTAGAGGATGTCAGACTCTGGGTGCTCCTGCCTGAATCCCCCTCGCCCCTCTCCCCACAGGGCATTGTGTGTGTGTCCTCATGGCCAGGCCCCTGACCCCTGGCTCTCTCCCTAGGAAGCTGTGAAGCCGGTGCTGCGGCGTTCTCCGCCCCCTGCAGAGCCTCCCCAGGTCCTGTTCTCCTGTGCCGATGTTGCTCTGCGCCTTCTGGCTCCACTGATGCCCTTCCTGGCTGAGGAGCTCTGGCAGAGGCTGCCCCCCAAGCCTGGTGGGCTCCCTGCCCCTAGCATCTGTGTTGCCCCCTACCCTAGTGCCTCTAGCTTGGTGAGTTGTGGGCCCATGAAACCTTATAAGGGCTGGGGTGGTCTCCTGGGAGGACTCATGCTCTGGGGCTGTGAACAGTAGCAGTTTGTACTCTGCTGTAGAGTCTTTTAGGTGCCAAAAATTAATGTGGGACTTCATACATGTACCCCCAAGTCACATCCCCAGTCCCTGTGGAGGCTTTGGGGGCTGGGAGGCGTATTCTACAGGACCGGGGCACTTTTGGTGTCTTAGGGGCAGTGTTAGCATATAAGCACTGACTACTACCTGCAGACTGACTCAGTTTCCCTCATCTTTAACTCCTGGGGATGGTAACTGCATATCATGACTGTGGTGAGGAGGTGAGTAACAGGAGAGCTCAAAAGTTTTTGCAGTTTAAAACTTTAATTACTTTAGAAATACAAATGTCTAGACTTATCACCCAAATCATTTAAAACTATTTAATTTTCCTTCTCTCTTCTTTGAGTCACACACAGTAGAGCTCAGGGGACCATGTGCCCAGGATCGAACCTGGGACTCCTGCATGCAGAGCACATGCTCAACCTGTTGGACCATCTCTCTAGCCCTAAAATTCTTTTTCTTTTTTGGCCACACCTGGTGGTGCTTAGGGCCTACTCCTGACTCTGCTGTTAGGAATCACTCTTGGCAGAGCTCAGGGAACCATATGGGATTGAACCTGGGTCGGCTGCATGTAAGACAAGCGCCCTACCTGCTCTCTCTCCAGCCCCCCAATCTGCTTATGTAGTTTTTTTTTGGTTTGTTTGTTTGTTTTTTTTTGCTTTTTGGGTCACATCGGCAATGCCCAGGGGTGACTCCTGTCCTGGCTCTGCACTCAGGAATTACCCCTGGTGGTGCTCAGAGGACCATATGGGATGCTGGGAATCGAACCCGGGTCAGCTGTGTGCAAGGCAAACGCCCTACCCGCTGTGCTATCTCTCCAGCCCCTGCTTATTTGGTTTTGTGAGTTTTAAATTGTGTCCTTCAGTCAGAGGACCTACACACATACCAACCACTCATCACCTAAGAGCGTAGATGATGCCCCATTGTTTGGTAGGTGTCGAAGGGAGTGAGATGAACAGGACACAGGATACAGCTCATACTCTAAAGGAAACAGGGTGGGTGGGTGGGTGGATCGGGGTTGGTAGCAGGAGTGATGGCAGGAGTCAGCTGTGCACCCATCTTGTCTCAGGAGCACCTGCACCAGCCTGAGCTGGAAGGAAACTTCTCCCAAGTCCAGGAGGCCATTCAGGCACTGAGGGCTCTGCGAGCCACCTATCAGCTAGCCAAAGTCCGGCCCCAAGGTGAGCTGTGGGCCCAAGTCCCTGCAGGCTGTTTGGGGAGGGGGCCCTTCCGGGCCAGATGAGAAGGCTCCCCCCGACAGCCCCTCCCGTGCTTGGCCCCTGCCAGTGTCCCCTCTCTCTCCAGTGCTGCTGTGGAGCTCCGAGCCTGCCGAGCGGCGCCTCTTTGAGACCTTCCTAGAGCCCATGGCCACCCTGGGCCAGTGTGGGGCTGTGGGGCTCTTAGCCCCGGGCACAGCACCCCCCTCCAGCTGGGCTCAGACCTCACTCAGTGCCACCGCTCAGGCCTACATGGAGCTGCAGGTGAGCAGATGGGGGAGGGCAAAGGATGTTGGGGGCCGGGAAGTGACATGACTCAAGTGGTAGAACACATGCCTGGCATGTGCAAGGCCCAGTACCACATGGCCCTAGAGCACTGTTGAATGTGGCCCTGTAGGAAAGATGTTGGGGCGAGGGGAAGGGTGTTCAGGTGAGGAGGGGTCCGCAAATGGGGGTAGGCTGTAGACGTCTGAGTCTTCTGTTGTTTCGCAGGGCCTGGTGGACCCCCAGACCCATCTCCCTCTCCTGGCTGCCCGGAGAAACAAGTTGCAGAAGCAGCTTGATGGACTCTTAGCCCGGAGCCCAGCAGGGGAAGAGGCGGAGACCCTGAGGCAGCAGAGGGTGAGTCTGGGGCATCCTGCAGGAATTTAAACTCCCTGAAGGAAATTGGGGGGTGGGGTGGGAGGAATGGTCCATGCCTGGAGGCTCACCTGCTCCTCTCTGCACCCAGCTCTCTTCCCTGCAGCTGGAGCTGGTGAAACTGGACCAGGCGGCCCTGCACCTGGAAAAGCTGCTGGCTGCGTGCCCCAGACCCCGCGAGCCCTGAGCGCTGGCTCCCTGTCTGCTGCCGGCACGTTCCTCATGCCCAGACCTGCCTTTGTCAACTCACACGGGCAGCTGCCACATGATGCCGGGGTGCGCTAGAGACTCGTGTCCTTCCTCATTTTATAAATGAGGAGACAGATTGGCGGGGTCACCGTGCTCTTGAGGACTGACACTCGTGGGTGTTCCCGGGGTGGTCGCACTCCTGCTCCGGCCTCCCTCCTGCAAGTGCTGGAAGGAGGAGACTCAGATAAACGTCACAATCTTAGCACATCTGGCTTGGTCCGTTTCTTCCTTTTTCCTTGGGTGATTCTCCTACATCTTAGTTTTTCCCTGAGACTGGGTCTTGGGGAGAGACCTGCCTCTCAGTATCTGGCTCTGGGGCCATGTGGGGGTACGGGCTGGGGTGCAGCCCCATTAATGACAGGAGTTGGGCAGGGCAGGGCTGGGCACAGTGGCCAGAACTTCAGCAGCTCCCACACTTCGGGTGGTGTCTCCCTCTGTAGGCCCTTCCTTCTGCTTCTTGCTTGTCTCTGTCCCCAGGGTTGCCTAGGGGAGCTGGTGTAGGATAACACTGTTTTGTCCTTCCTGCATAGTCTCAGGTAGTTTAGGTTTATTGGGTTGTTCCCATCACAGTGCTCCCATCCCATTCCTCTGTGTTTATTTGTAACTTCTTTGTGCTCTGTTGACTTCTAAATATTTTTATTCTCTTCTCCCTAACTCCTTTGCATAGTTTATTCAGAGCACTGTCCTTTTTGTATGGACACAAGAAGACAGTATATGCTATGCTTTTGTAATGTGACTCTCATATTTTCCTCCTGGGCATCTGTTCTCTCACCTAAGCCTCAGCTGCCCTTACTCCCTAGCTCCCCCAAAAGCAGGATCCTGACGAGGGACTGGATGGAACCAGGGCAAGCGGTAAGCTATGTGCTACCCTGACATCGAGATGGGCCTGGCCAAAGCGCCATAATGCTTAACTGTAAGTTAAGAGCTTGGTCACAGACAAATGCTGTCATGATCCAAAAAGTAATAACTAGATTTGGACCCTGCTAGGGTTAGGAATGATTAATCTGGCCTAAGTGCTGTAGTCTGAGTCTGTGACACAGTGTTCCCAGGAGAGCTGCCCTACAAGCCTCAATGGTATCTCTTACTGTGTCCATACTAAAATAACTGGTATTAAGATGGCTGCCCTTGGACTTCCTTCAGGCCCCTGTAGGATTGTGGGGTGTGCTGACAGTTAAGAATGCACCTCAACTTGCACGTGAGAGCACTTTCAGGGCCACACTGCCCAGCAGAGGAAGGTACAAACTTGGACACCTGCTGCCTGTCTGAACCGCTTGTCTTCTGTCCTTGGAGCCCTGTCGTTGGCAGGTTCTGCTGCCATTTGAGGGGTGATGGTGGAGGGGACTCCTTCATTTAAGTTGAAGAAACGTAATGAATAAAAGTAATTCACCCAAAGTATGATCTTGGACTCAACCCAGTAAATTAGATACAAGTTCTTTCTGGCCCTTTGACCAGGCTTCACATGGAAAGACCAGGTCTTTGGTGGGCAGTTGTACAGAATTCCATGTCTATTTGCATCTCTTTCTTGCCATTCTGATGTTCTCTCCAGCTCTGGGTCAAAGATCTGCACCATATTCACATCAAGGGAAGAGGATGAGAGGATGAGGAGGAGACAAGCAACTATTTTCCCTTTCCCCCAGGTCAATAAATGTTTTTTGAGCAGCGGTAGGGTGTTCGCCTTACAAGCGGCCAACATGGCCGACCCGAGTTCAATTCCTCCGCCCCTCTCGGAGAGCCCGGCAAGCTACCGAGAGTATTCGATATGCCAAACACAGTAACAACAAAGTCTCCAATGGAGACGTTACTGGGCCCGCTCGAGCAAATCGACAATCAATGGGAGGGCCTTTACCTTTACCTTTACCTTACTATATGCTCAGCACTTTTTTTTTTTCTTTTCTCTTCTGGGTCGCACCTGGCAATGCTCAGTTTTACTCCAGGCTCTGCACTCAGGAATTTATTCCTGGTGGTGCTCGAGGGACCATATGGGATGCCAGGGATCGAAGCAGGTGTGCCGTGTGCAAGGCAAATGCCCTACCCTCTGTATTACTGCTCTAGCTCCAGCTAACCGTTTTTTTTCTCTTGATACCTGTGTTCACCCAAGAATGAAACAGATCTTTGCCCTTGCACTTTTATCCCAGCAGGGGGCGTCAGAATAAGCAGCCAGGAGGTATGAGTCCTGAGGTCCTGAATGCTGGGGGTGGGGAGGAGGGAGGCTCAAGGGACTCAGGTGCGTGTGAGTGGGCAGGTTGTGTTGATTAGGAATCAGGGTAGAACTTGTCAAAGTGAGATTTAAGCAAAGACTTTAGGAGATGGAGGAAGTGAAGTAGACACATGGGTGTCTAGGGAGAGTCCCAGCTAGAGGAAAGAGGCAGAGCAAAGCTAGCAAAGCTCTTTGCTTTGGGAACGTGCCAGCCCCAGCATGCTGTGAGTGAGTGAATGGAGGCATGGGGCACTCAGTCGGGTTCGGTGGTGAAGGCTCAAGGTGAACGTGGCAGCCTCATGGCTATCCAAAGTAACAAATTTGGTTTTGTTTTTTGGGGGCCATACCTGACAGTGGTCAGGGCTTACTCCTGGCTCTGTGCTAGGGGATCACTCCTCGTGGGGCCTGGGAGATCCTCTAAGGTGTTTGGGCTTGAACCCAGGTCGGCCATGAGCAAGTCAAGTGCCCTACCCTCTGTGCTATTCTTCTGGCTTCTGAAGTAACAAGAATCAAACACTCAGTTACTGGCCTGAGGATGTAATTCTAGTGGTAAAATATAGAGAAAAAGATAAGACCTTGCATGTGTGAGGTTCTAGATTTGATCCGCAGATTTGCAGTAAAGAAAGTGTCATTCTTCAGTGATAGTTGTGCCTGTGAGAAAGAGAGGGATGGGGGGGCAGAGAGAGAGAGAAACCCAAGTGCACAGGAGACCTGCGGTCGAGGGAGGGGGTGAAGAGAGAGAGAGAGAGAGGGAGAGAGAGCGCAGTGCACAGGAGACCTGAGGTCTCTGGGGATACTTGGCCGACTGGGATGAAGTGCTTGGCCCTGGTGATGCTGGGTGCCTCCAGCACATGATATTTGGGGAGCCTTATGGTGCTGGATCCAAACTCGGGGCCTCTACCAGCAACACATGTACTGGAGTTCCTTGAGTTCTCCCCCCAGAGAGGGGGAGTTTCAGTTGTGGCCACCAGTTTGGTCAGGGCAGATTATAAAACATGAATGTTTCCCTGGAGGGTTCTATTGCAGAGTGCTAGTGTGGGGTTTGTAGGTCAAAGTAAGGTATTTGTTTTCTTTTAGATAGGAAACTCCTCAAGGTTATCACCATGGGGTTGTATACCTCCTTTCTCCTTGTATTCCACTGGACAGAATCTGATCACGTGGTCATTCTTGGGTTGGGAAGATGGTGCAAAAGTCTGGAGTGCATGCTTTGAGTGCAAGAGCTGTGGGTTTGATTCTCAGAAGCACGTGGTACTTTGAGTACCATGCTGGGAGCAGCTCTTGAGCACTGCCATGTGACTGAAACCAAACTAATCACTAGGGGTTGGATGATGTTACAGTGGGGACAGCGTTAGCCTTGTATGCAACAGGCCCACGTTCCATTCCTGGTTCCTCTTCTGGCAAGTTCCTTTGAAATATTCCATCACTCCTTCAGATCTGCCAGAAGTGATATTTGAGCACAGAGCCAGGAGTAAGCCCTGAGTACTGCCAGGGTGCCCCACCCCCAAAAAACAACCAACACACAAATCCCACAAACAGAAACAAAATCACATGACCATTCCTAGCTGTAGAGGGATGATGGGAAATGTGAATCATGTACTCAGGCAAAGTTGACATGACTAGAGGAAGAGCGATTATTGGGGGGCAGTTGATAGTGGACCACCCCTAGATCTCTGAACCTCTAGAGCATTCTTTCACGGCACTGAGTCCCTAGACTCAGAGTCTCAAGATACTTTAGGAAAAACCTTTGAGAAAATACTCCGGAAATGACGCCCGTGACCCCAATGCAGGGGTTGATGCAGGAGGCATTTCTCTGTTTTGGCCATCTGAGGGCGGATCCTCAAATTTGATGGGGCCTCTACATCTAAGCTGGGGTGTGGTTACCTGCTGGTGCAGACCGGGGGGAAGTTGTAAAATACTTGAACTACTTGCTAATGCTTCCATTGCTGAGCTGTTTGTCCTAGGCAGTGTAAGAGGAATGAGCAATTTTACATTGGAACTATCCCCCCCCCCCCACTCTTGTGCCTCTGTGCTCTCTTATCTTCAGGGATCTGCACAGAGCTCTTAACCCACCAAAGGATCTGGCATGGAATATCCTATGGCTGCAGGGGAAGGGGTCAGGGTAGGTGGGGGGTATAGTAAGGAGGGGCAGGTACTAGGGAGAACAGGAAGCAAACACCAGTAGCTCCAAGTTGTTGGCTCTGAATAATATACTTGCATTTTGTGACAGTTGGTAAGAAGTAGGATAATCTTGAGTGGGGAGGCAACAGTTGAATGCCTGCTTCCAGAAAATCAGAAGGGAAATCCTGGACCCTTGAGAGGCTAAGATGTGTTGGACCTGGGTTTCTGTCTTCACAGCCGCCTGTTGACCATGCCTGTTTTTCTTTTTTTTTGGGGGGGGGGGAGGGTGCGGGCGGTGGCAGTCATACCTGGGAATATTCAGGGATTACTCCTGGCTGTTATCAGGAATTATTCCTGGCAGTGCTCAGGGGACCATATGGGATGCCAGGATTTGAACCTGGGCTGGTTATGTGCAAGGCAAGTGCCCTGCCCGCTGTACTATCTTTGGACAGTTTACCAGCTTTTCTGATAGGCACCATGACTTATACTAGGAGATTGTCTTTGCCCTCTTCACTGCAGCCTTATTAGGGGGGCCACACCAGGCTAATGATCCAAGTATGAGCGTGCATGCCGCTCTGCCAGTGCCGCTCTGCCAGTCCCTGGCCTGGTCTCCCCCAGTTCCACAGACTGAACCCCTTTTCACTTGAGCTGCCCTGCAGCCTACTGTCTCCCCTGATCTGTTGGAGCCCAGAACTGGAAATGTTCCATCTACTTCCCTAGGGTATAGGGATCTACATGCCTGGGGTTCCTGAACCCTCTGCCCCAAATGAAGCAAAAGGAGATGGAGTTAAAAATCTGTTAAGTCAGGCGGTTGGTCTGCTTCCACTCCTAATGTGTGTTTTCAGCCTCATTGTCACATTGGATTCTTTGTTATATTTTTCTTTGTTATGTTTAAGATTGGGCCAGCAGATTAACTGGTATAGAGACAGAGATCACATGTATCTGCTTTATACCCAAGTGTTCTGATGATCTCAGTGTGTGTGTGTGTG